CTGAATACACGTTCAAATAAACTTCCAATGACTAAAAAATAGTACTCTCAAGGCTACAAAGTATAGTAATTGAGCGTAAAACAGCTTAAATTAGAAACTCGTTGAAACTTGCGCAATGTTGCGCGTGCAAAGTTGTTGCAGAAGCGCGCGCCGCTTCAAGTGTCGTACATCGCGCGCGCACAACTTAACTGCTGTAGCTACAATGTACCTACAGATGGCGTAGTGCGCGCGCAAGAAAAGTGCGAGATACGCAAATGTCTTACTTACTGGGGAGGTGACAGGAAAAAATGCAACGGGCACCGTAAAAGTTTTCGAAAGAGATGAATAACTTTAAAAAAACGCGTGGTTACCTTCATATTTTATGTTATGAAATGGAAGTGGCAATTATGCCTTGTCATAGGGCTGTTGTTTTCGCGAAGGAGTTTATCTATTCGCACTCCAGAGGAGATATGACTCTTAAAAAGGTTTTAGATCGCGACACGGCAAAGATATTCAGCTGCAAAATTCACTCGGATCGCCACGACAAGTAAACGAACTTCGTACAATTTCTTCTAGCATGTACAATGTAATCGCCATAAGTTGTAAAAAGACCTCGAAGATTCTTTGCAAACAAGTTCTCTGTAAATGCGCAGACAGCTGTGCTTGATTCTTGAACCAAAATGGTTTAAACTCACAACTTGCGATTGGATTAGGAGGGCACTCAACGAAGCAACTTAAACAGTAAATATCTAAGCGGAACTCTTCTGCTAAAGTATCCTAATTTTTTAATTTGCTTTTATTGTGTCTAATACGCGTTTTCGGAAAGCACGATTTGATACTGCGGTGCGAAGCCCCAGTAAACGTTCTTAGAGCGTCTAGTTTTTAGGCATTTTGTTCTATTTTGAGTTGGGAGGTATAACAAAACACTTAATGACTTGGCTTACGGGAAACAGTGAGTTCTGTTTCCCCTCAACCCTCAATGTTCGCCTCGGGGAACATTGAAGGTCTCGGGGAAACAAAACTCACCGTTTCCCTTGGAGCCAGTCATTAGGTGCTTTACGTCTCCTCATGCCATATAAACACAGTTGAATTCAAATCAAGTAAAAAGACCTTGCCACATCGGTGCGCACTTCCAAACACTTCATGATGCTTCAGCTGAAAGAATTAAAACCAAGTCCTCTTAGTAATAAAAAGAGAGGACTTCAGATTGCTAACACCAAGAAACGCCGTTAAATTAAGCAACTACAAAAAAGAAAATAAAAAAGAAATCAAACAAACACAAGAACAAAACATAATAATTTTGGACGCCAGAAAAAATAAAGAAATAAACTAAAGATGACATCTGCCAAAACAAAGCAATTAACCATTACAGCATTTCACTCTTTGTTCTCCTGTGTTCCTTACATTCTCGTTCCCAGAGCCTCCAATGTTTGGTCACCTCGTCGACGAAACGAGGGCTACTGGAAAAGACATTTTAACACGAGTAACCCTGGGGACGAGTATGTGAGCATTGCAAAATGCAGTACATGAAAGTTGGTACGTTGAACTATAAACTGTACAAGAGAGAAGAATGCACAACTGACAATTTTAAATTGATAATTAAGTACCACGTAAAAAGTGGCCCGAGTATTTCATATAAAGAGGAATTAGGTAGAAAATCTGGATTACATCAGTTAATTACTTTTTTTTCTATCGGAACCATAGTTAGTAGAACTATATGTCGGAACTGAACACAAGTAATGGTGAAAGCCCAAGTGGTCAACTCCGAAAACAATGCAATTAGTTTGGACGTTTTAATTGCTGATTTCGGGGTGGCCAATTAGTGTATAGATCGTTTTCACGCGACGTCATCAAATTCCAAAATCCAAAACTAAAGAGCCACGAAAATTTTTATCCTCATAAGGCATAAGGGGATCTAAACTTAAATCTGTTTACAACTTTTAAGCTCAATAGTGTGCTTGGTTTAGAAACCAGTGCCGTTTGAAGTTCAGAGTTATGTCGGTGGGTGACATACCACTCCGATCGCGTTTGTGGAGAAATATACACTTATTTAATGATTTTTAGCCTTTTTAGGAGTTAAAGTGTTAGGAAAAGTGCTTGTTTAAATGTTTGTTGGTTCAGTTCAGATAATTAGTCACCTAGATAGCCAAAGTAAGTTCCAGATGTTTGCACTATTTTCCGGCCGCCATGTTGGTGGAGCACAGAGCTCCACCAACATGGCGGCTCCATACTGGGCTCTGTAAATTTGCGCAAAACATTTCGACGAATATCTGAAGTTTGGGAAAACGCAGAGACCCAAAAATTGGAGAAGTMTCTCCTTTACCTGTCTCCTATAATATCAAAATTTCTTGACTTTATCCACTGAATAGTTTTCGATTTATTTTTTCGTTGCGTGACAGTGAAAACCATCTATATGTTGTATTGATTCGAATCTACGGGATTAGGTCAATCCTTTGTAAAGAGCAACCCTTTCTTTTCTGCAAAATCAACTGATTATAAACTGATTTAGTCGCTGGCAAATGTCTACATCCGCAGAGATTAAGAAGTGGAGCAAATCGACCACCCTGAAGAGTGACTGGACAGTTACTTTGTTATTACACTCAATCGATCGGAGATCACGGGCTTTGTTATGTGTGTGAAAGGACAACAAAGCAATCGGATTACAGATTGCGTATTCTACGAGTTTGTTCTGTTCACTTATTGAATAGAGTCCGGTGTTATCACAAATGATTATTAAATAAAAGTCGCACGGGAATAGAACGGTTTTCAATTGAGTGTCGTAAAACCAAAACCAAACCAGTTACTTACCAATTAGACTACTCAGCCAATCTCAAACCGTAGTAAAACCAAAACCAAAGTAATTGTCTAATTACTTTCGACACTCAAATGAAAACCGCTCTAGATCTATTATTCTTAAACCAATTAGTGGTAAGTCTGTTTTTATAAGGACGTCAAGAATTGTTCGTTTACATCTGACCAACAGTTTTGACCTGGCGAGAGCTCGGTACTATTTCTTGAAAGCTGATCCGGTCACTGTGTGTACCGCAGTGAAATCTTTCAAAGAGATTACTTAAGTGTTTTGTTGGTATTCAAAGTCCAGACAGGTTATCAAGAAATAACGGTGAAGCTACAGTCTACATAGATAACAAAAACATGATTTGGTAAGTCATTAGTAAGCAATGATTTATGCCGAAGTCCAACAACAACTTTAACATGGATCATGCGATAAAAGTTTATGTTTCCCCGGCAAGCAACAGCTCGGAGTATTTAGAATCGATTTCTACTCAGTCAACTGGAAACGAGGACTCTGGCGAAAAAATGGACGAGGGTACACTTGTAAATGAGGAACTTAACGAACTACAGAAGACTTCGGGCCAATCATCTGAACCGACTAACGATTAAGATGACGACGAAGTTTTCACCAAAACTGAGGATGTAGGAGAGAATGACAATCTTAAAGAAATGGAAAATAGAGACACGAATAAGTCGCCGTCTGCATTGGCACAAGTTGCTCGCACACTACAAATGGTGAGTTCATGGTTAAATCGAACTCGCGCCAACAGCGACAAACGAGCCCCCCGCGTGGACTCTTTCCTCGAAAAGCTAGAAATGGCCGGTCCGTCCCACGTTACGCGAGACAACAACCTCACTGATTCTTCCACTTCGTCAATTTTGTAGATCCTTCGCAAGCGTTCCATTTCTACTGGTTGATGGTTGTTACGATTTGCGTGTTGTGCAACTGGATCTTCATAATTGCTCGCGCAGCATTCGCTGACTTACAGAGTCGTTCCGTAATACTTTGGCTTGTTTTGGAATACTTTTCAGATTTAATATACATAGTGGATATATTTATACAGTTTAAGAGTGGTAAGTAGTTGCTGGCATGAGATAACAACATCTGACTGTCTACATAAAAGCAAAAAAATGCAAGCAAGTTTAGAAGCTAATGTCTTTTGTGTTTAATAATGTCTTTTGATACTCCTTAATTTCGCCCTCAAATACGCAATCTAAATATAGCCAACTGATCAACATTTTACAGCCAAATTAGAATTCTAAGTTTGCCGAAATAATTGTTTCTGCCTTCCACATGGATCATTCCTGGAAAGTTATCCGTCTATCTTAAGGGCGCTAACTGACTCAAGGACAAAATATCTGTCCGCTAGAATCATATATCATTTATCTTCTGCTTTGAGGAAACAATACTTAGCGTTATTTCAGCGATATCGACCACTGCTGAATTGTTGCAAAACAAAAATGCTTGAAAATGTACAATACTTTCGCTTTTTAGTGTTTGATCTGCGGTGATCGAGCTTGCATTGTTAAAGACTGTCTGAAAAAAAATTCACGGTAGTCAAGATATGCTAATTAAAGAGTAAATCAATATCAAGATCAACTCAGTAGTAACTGAATAATGAGGGTTCCAGGCAATTTAACTCGCGCCTTTTAACGCAATAGTTATGTAATGCCGAATATTACCTGTTTTGTTATGACTGTTCTTGGTGGCAGAAGGGCATTTACAATTTTCTGTTGTAATTTTATTTGTAATATTTTGATTCCAGTTCAGCTTATAGGGCCAGCAACACATCAATTACAAACACCTTTCGGAAAGATTAGTTTTTAATAACTTTTTTAGATAAATTCAGTGAATGTTAGTGGCGCATAGCTATTCAGAAGTTGAGATAATTTTGCGACGTTCAAAGTGATGTTTCCCAGATATTTTCCAGAAAACGAAGTTTGAATTACAACTTGAAACATCTCTCGTTGTTCATGAGTCTTCAGAGAAATTAGTATTTTCATCTTCTAAGACTAAAAACACTCATTAAGTGGCCGTGTTGGCACACATTTTAAGTGAAAATGGATTGTGTGGGTTGGCCATCTATTAATGAGATTAGCAGTCAATTTAGGTCGACAGGCTCATTAGTATCTTTTGTTGTACAGGAAGATTGATTGCTGTGAAAACAAAACTCGTGAAAATGAACACACTCACATAGATAGACAAAGCATCAACAATAGCTCTTATTGAACAATTAGAATTTAGAGACGCAAAACGATTTCAGGAAGGTTGTGTTATGTGCAATTACCAATCCCATTCATAGACGAGGAATATGGGTTCTTTTGTATTCACTGTACTGTACAATACCTTAGACAAACAGGCGCCCTTCCCCTAAGCTGTTAAAGGACTCAAACAATCAGTAATTGCATGTTAATAGATAGTCCGGCGCCAGAAGTCTATCATTAACCAGGCTGAATGAAAAGCATGCGCTCGTTTTAGCATAATTTAGCCCATTCTCGTCCCCAGTGTTACCTGTTTTAAAATGTCGCCACGAGTAGCTCTGAACACCCCCGAAAATTGGGCCTGGAATTTATGCACAGCAGTGTTGATCTTAACACTGCCTTCGTGCTCGAAGATATTCAAAAGGATTTTTTTGCAAAGCCAGTTATAACCTGATAGATTGAGAGAATTAAGAGGATCACCAACTTTGCTTTGATATTCAGAAAAAGTTTCAAGTTTGTTCTCAAAGTTGTCAAACACTTGAAAAAGAATTTGTCTCCTGCTTGCCTCTTCAAAATCAGTACTTCTGGGCTTTTTTTCTGTGTAACACTAGATAATAGCGCGGACTACCTTTTTTCCCCGCACCCTCGAGTTTTCGATTGAAAACCGCTCTAAACTAACGGTATTTGTCTTCTTATTAGGCTATCTGGCGCATGGAATTCTCGTCAGAGATCCCAAAAAGCTGCATCAAAACTACATGTTGAAAGCGACTTTCAAAATAGACTGCCCTTCAATTCTTCCACTAGACCTCTTCTACTTTGTTGGAGGAATCAACATGGTTGCACTGAGGCTGCCGCGCATGCTTCGTCTGCATCGTCTCTTGGAGCTAAGGAGCACTACAGAAACCCTCTCCCGTCTCCCAAATTTTTTACGCCTGTGTTTTTTGGTTGTTATGGTTTTGCTCATCTTCCACTGGAATGCGTGTTTTTATTATATATTGTCAAGATGGATTGGATTGGGTCTACCCGAAACTTACAAAACCGGGCTTCGATTCTCTAGCGCGACAGTATCTCTTCAGCTTGAATTGGTCGTCAAGAATGCTTACAACTGGAGAAACTGAAAACCCACCCCAGACTAACGTAGAGCTCCTGTTTGTAACTGTCGACCTCACCGTCGGATTTCTTGTTTTCGCCGCCATAGTAGGTCAATTTGGAAGTATGATAACACACATGTTACTGGTGCGAAGGGAATTCCTTGGACAAGCCGAAGCTCTGAAGCAGTATTTAGTTTTTCACGGAATAGGTGACGATTTACAAAGACGAGTCGTTGCTTGGTTTAATTACATGTGGGTAACGAAGAAGTCGTGCTTTGATAGCGATAACGTCCTTTGCAAACATCCCCACCCGCTTAGAACTGAAATAGCCGTGCAAGTGCATTTGGAAACGTTAAAAAGAGTACAAATTTTCGCCGACGTTGAGCCTGGTTTACTGAAGGAAATCGTTTTGAAACTTCGCTTGCAAGTTTATTCTCCTGGCGATTACATCTGCAAAAAAGGCGAGCCGGGAAAAGAGATGTACATAGTGAGCAGCGGTCGACTGCAAGTTATGCAGGACGATTCTGAGACCGTAATCGCTACTCTGCACGACGGAAGCTACTTTGGCGAGATAAGTATTCTGAATTTATCAAATACTGGAAATCGACGGACTGCGAACGTTCGGTCCGAGGGATATTCAGAACTACTGTGCCTGTCAAAGGAAGATTTACTCGAGGCATTGACCGAGTATCCCGAGGCTAGAAAATTGCTTGAGATATGCGGGAGAAGGTTCCTCCAGAGATCTCGATAACAAAGCCCGTGACACACAACTAATCCCTTTAAAGAACTTTGGATATAGAAATAGCGAGCGTAAATAGCCCTTTTCACGGTTAATTTTTCTCATTTGCGCTACAATGTAATCCAACGTGGATGCGAGGCAATTTCGGGCTAAAACTACAAAATAGCCCGAAACTATGCCTCACATACATGCTAGATTTTATTGTAATGCAAATGAGCAAAGGTAACCGCGAAAAGGGCTATTAGAAAATGTTTTTCCCAGAGGCCGCGATCACTTTGGTCAGCATCAAGAACCACTAGAGAAGGGTAACGCGGGCTCTTAAGACGCCATTAATGTTCCCTACTGGCATCTCTTGTGAAACGAATCGCGTATTTGTTCAATCAACTTTCACCCTTGCAAACAGTCAGTAGAACGTATGGGGCAGGCTTATAGTAAGGTTGTCGCATGCATTAAACTTGTTTCGTCTAAACCGTCTTTTAAAGACAATTTCTGACACGAAGACCCTGTTTAATAATTCCCTTGTAATTCGAAATTGTTTTTGTTGGTATTTTCTGGTGTGATTTCATCCCCTAAGAGAACTTACTTAGCTTAGTGCCTCGAAGCCTTATTCGTTCGAAGTCGAAGACGCTTGATCATTCATAAACAGGAGACCGTTGTACATAGGTTTAAGTGTAAAATGCCTCCCTTCCTTACAGTTCAAGTTGTCCATATTAGTTCATTTACTGCTGATTGATTTACCTTGAATGATACTCACCTCTCGGAAGACGGTTTAGATTTGTGCACTTCTAAGAAATATATCGGAAATATCAAATTCGATCACCTCAGTGATCGAGAATTCGGTTGGAAGTCGCAATGGACTATTAACTTGTAAGTGATAGTTTGCGAGCCTCGAAGTAAGGCTTACTTTATTAATAGTAATAGCTACCATGAGATATTTTGATGAATACGAAGACCATTAACTAAAAAGTAGCTGGAATATTTCGTAAAGGTCGGTATTGTCCTGTGATCACTGACGATGGCTTGCTTGTTGCCTGCAGGCGACTGAGTTCTGGCCGTCTAAATACAGTAAACGAATTACATAAAAAAAAACTTCATTTTATTACATTTAAAAATTTTATTTCTTCAACATTTACAGCGTTGTCAACGATGAGGGTTCTTCTGCAAAAATGTGTCAATTTACACAACAAAATAAGCAGAAAGAAAGAGGGAAGAGGGCTGATCAGACAGTAAATGAAATTCGCAGTGAAGTTGCCTGAAATAGAAAATAAGATAATGAATGTTTATAAAATACAGAGATCTTAAATTTGTTACACCTGCCAACTTAGCAAAAAGGCCTAGGAACAAGTTACTATTAGTGAAGTCATGAATGTTCTCCGCCAAAGAGAGTGAGAGGGAAGAGAACTGGGTACAAAGCTCGATCAGAGCTACATGTTCAGTGTCGCAACGCAAAGATGACGCATTTGTCACGCTCTCAGTTTTCCCAATCTTGAGTATCCCTAACAAAGTTTTTTTTCCGATTTCAAGGCAATTCTTAAAACTCGCAAGAACAAAAAAGTCTCAAAATCAGTTCCCTTGCAAGAGGTCTTGACAACTGCATAATATTTATTTATTATTATCGACCAGATTTATCAGGCATATGAATCACACTTAATCATGAGTAATACGTGTGCAGTATCAATTCCAGGGCGGTACTCTGATGAACTGCTAGCACTCGTGCTGGCGCCTGCAGTCAATGAAGTTTGGGGTTTCCTAATGTAAATCTCGCCGTCGATCAAAAACACGTCCTCGGCTATGTCGTAATTGCTAAAAATAAGTTCAAAGAAACGAGGAGAAAATTAAAACAAATATCGTATCAAAATATACAGCTTTCTTATCTGATAATTATCGTCAAACTCATGCAATGTTAAATCTGGTGATTAAACCAGCATAACTATGGATTGTTTGTTTGTTTGTTTCTCGGTGTTTTTGAGGAACTAAGACTAATTTCTTTCTCGCCAAAGCCAACACAAAGCGCACCTTGGTGGATTGAAGCCGGGAGGGCCTCCTGATTTCTTCCAATGCTTCTCACAATCATAACACTGGCATGACATTCTTAGATTTTCCTCGTGATCAAGAGTAGAGGGACCACAAAGCACATTTCTGACAAACTCTATGTCTAATGGAAAAGAACTTTTCTGATTGTTCTCTTTGAACAACTCTGAGTCCATCTGAATGACCTGAAATCAGAATAAATAAAGCATTTCAAGCTGTTTCGTTCATAATCACCGGCGCCTAACTTTCTTTACCATGTAGCGTCTGAAAAATCGCTAATCCCTTGGATCAAGAGACAATGATCTAGGATGTAGCGCCTTTCACCCCATGCAGGGTACTTCCCATCATAGTAAAGTACCTTCCCCAACAACGCAACACATATAGCAAACAGGACTGGACTCGAACCTAGGTCAGCCCAAAGTACCAGACATATAACCAAATTACTCAGGCTATAAGCCGTTAGCATTTTAAACGGTTGTGTGCATCAAGTTAACTGGGTAGGAGAGTGGTATAAGGACAGGGTTTTGGACTGTTTTGTCATGGATTCTATAGCTATCTTGGTATCTACTGGTGCAAAATGCTAATTAATCAACACATGACTATTTCAATAGTCGTTTTGGTTTTAAATACTTACACCTCTCTTATACTGTAAATCCTCGAATTAGCGCCCGGGGCGCTTATCTCAAATTTAGGGGAAGACGGGGGCGCTTTTTCGAGGGGGCGCTTATTTAATTTTTCCCAAATCGTGGCCTGACATGATCATTTTTTTAACATATACGTCATCTGCGCGTAAACAACAACATAAGCTAATTGTCTTGATAATACCTTTACGCAGCTTCAAACATTTGGACTTAATGCAAATTATGCTCGAAATAATATCCACTAAAGTCTCGCTTTCACCATCTCTTAAATTATCTCCAGACAAACTGTTTCCATATTAACTATTAAAAACAGGTTCTCTACACCCTAGTCTCTGTTCAATCAATTTCCTTTTCTGGGTATCAATGAATTGTTTTATAAAAATAAAAAAGGATGTTGCTAAAGAGATTACTCCTTGTCTCCCCACTCTTCTTTAAATTTTCCGGCCCAAAGACTTCTCTCTCTCCTCAATAGAACGTTGAGCCTGGCCTAAGTTTCTTTCATTTTCCTCACTCTTGAACCATTTGTTGTGAAAAGTTTACCTTTTCCAGTCGTATAGTCTCTGTCATGGACGTCTTTGTCACCTTCGTTTGCTGCTTAATCACCTTTCTCTGTTCTTTGCTCTTATTCGCCATGAGTTTATTCCCAGTCATAATTTCGTTCCGAGCCTTGTTAAGATGTCCATAGAAACCACTAGAATATTGCCCGGATGTAAGATGCTTGATAAAACCAGGAGCCATAATCGGGGACGGAGACCGTAAGTCTTATGATCCGCGCGCACCTATGATATGGGACAATTTTTCTATTTTTAGAAAAAATTGCGCCACCATGACGACATGTATCTGCGCGGATCCTCGCACATGTTGGGGGTTCTCGCGTGGATGTTGTCACGTTCCGTAATCAAATGGTGAGAGTTGCGAGATTCTCTTGCAGATTTTTCACAGCGATGGTAAGGAATAACGCAATGAATAAGATCCAGGGCTCTTATGCTTTGAGCTGATGGAAAAGGTGAATTTTTCAGGGTCGAAAACAATACTTCAATTTCGCGTTGTGAATGAATAATATCTACTCGCGCTAGTTGAACGCGTAAGCTTTTGCGTTTGTTCTGCAAAGAGAAATTATGAAAGAAAACTCTTTACTCTGGTATCGAGTTAATTTGAGAGTTTCCCAAACAATGCTTAATCATAACTAAAACTTGTTTTTGATAGTTTCTTATTGTCTCTGTTTGTTTAGCGAGTTTGCAAAAGTTTTTGAGTAGCTCATTTGCATAGCGCAGCGCGCGGCGTCGACAAATCTGGATCGGACCGGATCGGATCACGGATCGGATCACGGACCGGATCACGGATCGGATCACGGGAAAAAAAAAACGGTTTTAAAGAAAAAACAACAACAAAAAAATCAAATCGTTTATAAGATAATAATAAATAAAAAATAAAAGTGGAAAACTAAAATATGTTAAATGAAAATAGGAATTCCGAATTTGACGCAATGACATGTTAGTTACAGATAATGACAAGAGGTCATTTAAAAAGCCACATAAGCGCCTAATTTACGACGACTTTAAATTGTAATGAACAGGCAGATGTAGTTATATTTGAACGTTAGTTGGCTCGAAGCTTGCGTGAACCTCCCATTTTCGTTTTTGAAGTTGTTGTTAGTATCAGTGGCTAATTCTCGGCTACATTTTCGTGTCAGATGTGAGTGTTACAGTTGGCGTTACAGTTAATGAGAAAGCTTACGTA